TGACTATGTTCAGTAAAATTCCTAGCTAATTCATCATTGTAGAAATATTTTTGTTTTAGTATTTTTTTAAAAAAAAAAATTGTCCACTGGTCTTTTTACACTATAGGCGGGGTAGAAGGGATAATCATGGAGCAAAAAAATCCACCGTTTTAATTTCAATTTAAAAGAGGTTTCATGGAATAATAGTCATATCGATGTAGAAATGTGCTAATTTTTTAAAAAAATTGTCAACTGTTCTATTTTACCCTATAGGCAAAAGGGGTAAGAAGAGATAACCAGAAAGCAAAAAGATCCACCGATTTATTTTAAATTTAAAAGAGGTTTCATGTAATGTTAGTTATATCATTGTAGAAATATGTTTGTTTTGCTATTTTATTAAAATTGTCAACTGGTCCTTTGTACCCTATAGGCGAGGTAAAAAGCGACAATCAAGAAGCAAAAAGATCCACCGTTTAATTTTTAATTTAAAAAAGATTTCATGGAATAATAGTTACATTATTTAATCAACATAATTACTGGGTTGAACAACAAAATTAAAAATCATAATTTGAATATGTATTTTTAAACATAATATACAAAAAAATATCTACTCTTACAACCATCATAATTTTTGCTTTGGTAGTTATTTCTGATTAACATATTATAATCAGACACATTATTTCTTGCAATACAAAAGATTCAAATGAGATAAATACAACTTCTGTTTGAAATACTTATTTTATAGGCATATTTTTCGAATTGGATACATCTTTCGTATGAAACTTTGCCAGAAGAATTCAACATCAGAGTTGTAATAATTATTAATTTAAATTATTTCTTGTATAATTGCTTTTTAAACTCATTTGTTAACTTCGTTCGTCTCTATTAACACACCTTATCTCTAAATTACTCGTTTATTGTCTCTAATGACACTCTCTACAGTCTACAATATTAATCTCTATATGTCACTATTTGTGTCTCACAATATATAATCTACTCACACATACATTATCCTTTTGTTATTTTATTCATATTTCATATATTTAATATTTTTATTTACTATTTTCTTATTGTTAATATCTCGCCTTTGTAAAGGTTTAGGTAGTCCTTTTTACCCCAACCACATGACAGCTATTAAAGAGGTTATAGAAATGTCGAATCCAACTTAAGAATAATAATTAATCGTACAAAACAATTAAATAAAGTATTTTTAAAAAATATATTCAAGTCTCGTAAACAACCGTGCCCAACAACAAAAGATTAATAACAATAAAAAAAAAATGACAATCTGGCCGTTTATCTCGTCTTTTAAATATTGTTTAAGGTTAAAGAAATCCATAACTTTACTTGTTTTTGAGATAATGGTGATGGACCTTTTTACCTGCGGACCTTTTTAATTCCCCCTCTACCCTATACCCTGTGTACACTTACATGGATGTATATATAAATTGTCGTATGCATTATAAATTTTCAAGTAATTAGTTTACCATAACATGTCCTTACAAAGTCGAATGATTCTTTTAAAACTATAATACTTTATTTACTCTACACCAATTAACAAAGCGCGAAGTGGCGACAGAGCCCCTATTCGAGCCCCATAAAAAAACACATCAAGAAATAGGGAAGTGATACGACGATGAGAAATTATGACAAGTTTTTTTTTATTTTTTAAACGAACATACTTAAACGCTTGTTACCAAAATAGTGTTGATGGCTGTTTCGCTTTTTAAAGCATTTTAAATACTTTTCTATTGATGTTACTCATACATAATGGAGAGCTTTTAGCTTCGTTCAGTATTATTAGTGGCTTCATTGCATTAGATTCTATTACATGGAAATTATATTTCTAAAGATATTTTCAGCACCCAAAATATAAATGAACGTATATCTATGTACGTCTGTGTATGTGGGATTCTGTGCATGTAATACGTGTATCTTCATCTTTATTATAAATTCATGTATATATGTATACATGTATATATATATATATATATATATATGTGTGTATGTGTATATATAATACACCCAGTATATAATGTAAAGACGCTACGACTATATATTTCTCTGGGGACTGAAGGTGAGGTATATACAAATGTAATATAGGAAAAACTGCTGGGATGAGAAAAGCATAATGCGCCTTTATAAGCGTACTGAATACTGATATTTCGAAGGCAGTGGCGCATCATACAGAAATTCTTACATAGTATTTAAAATATTTTATCTACTCACCAAAAGATTGACACAATTTTGGCATCCATAATATACGTCTAAACTCCTTCTTGCCTTAGTGGTATCAGCTATGGACTTCCAACCAGGTGTTCCAGGTTCGATACAAGCAGTAATGGCATCAGTTTTTATTTCAAAATATAGATGGAAATTTTTTAAGTGAAAGTACCCCCTGCACAACATTTCTGCAACAAACGAAAAATTATCAGTATTACATTTATTCCAATATTTTTTTAATATGAGATTGGTCACTTGATTGATTAGTTTCTAAAGTCAAGCTATTAAGAAAACCATCAAATCAAATTTATGGGGCTATTAAATATACGTCTGATTAATAATATACAAATATTGAAATTGTATACGTTTGGTGTTGGCGTATTTGTTGTTTTCCCAAAAAAGGGATTATCTAATTTTATTTTTTCTCAACGTTTCCAGTCGTTTTGAAAATTGGAAAAAGTGTGTTTGTCTGCCCGTGTGAATCTGTATATGATCCGAAATCTGATCTTTCGTCGACGTTTTCTCAAAAACGATTGAGCCGATTTCAAAAATTTAAAAGCCACTCGATGTAATTCGATAAGGACTATCATCGGTCAGTTTTGCGTTATGATCAGCCAAACCGTTTCTTTGTAATAAGAAGAAAAGTGTATTTTTTTCTTCCACGTTTTAGACCACAATTTTGAATTGATTATAAAAATTCAAAAACTGATAGAAAGATATTGGCTGGGAATGATGTTGAATAGTTTTTGGTGAAGGTAGGGCGAGCTGTTTCTTTGTAATAAAATGTTGAATAATTTTTTTCGACGTTTTCGAGAAAAGTGTATAATATCGTAGTCGAAAATAACATAAATATTATAAGCCTACGCTAAGCGGTTGCAAATGCCAACTCTGCTAATAAATATTTCTGACAAAATACCAGGTATTTTACAGTGTTATTTCTGTAAACAATGCAGCCATGAAATTTATATTTTAAATAATGCAGCTTTATTTTATAAAATTCCTTTAAAATTAAAAAGATATATTGGAACTGTTTGCCACCTGGCTGTCCCATTTTACCTCGCATATTGGGTAAAAATGACCAGGTAACACATTTTTGAAAAACAGCAAAAAACACATTTCTATAATGATGATTTCAACTGAACGTGGTCAAATAGTTGTTTATTTGCTATGTGTTATTTGTTGTGATATAATTGGTTTGGTTTTCACAATATAATTACTCAAAGTCAAATTGGACCTTTGTGCCCCATCCTACGCTGAGTATCGGAAAGTTCATGCACTTGTCTAAAGGCAAAAAGCTACTTACTACAAGTTTTTCTTTAAATATTTAGTACAGAAGTTATTTAGTATAAAACTATGTATTATTATTATTCATTTATAATAAACTAGCAAACCCGACGAACTCCGTTTCGCCACCAGATGGTTTCGTAAAAAAGATGAAGAAATTTTTTGTTTGTTTTATATTTGAAAAGGAAAAATTAGATTTTATTATACAACAGTAATGAATTTATTTCGATTACAAAAATGAAGTGTTTTTTAGTTGAACTTCTTTAAGTAAATGAAAGTGAATCTTTGGTAAACCACAATTTTTGTTTTTTGGTCTGACCTTAACATAAACAAAGCGGATGGTTTTCGCACTCGTGAACAGGCAACGTATAACTGCCCATGTGAAAAACAATGATTTTCTAAATAATCTATTTAAAATTTATTCCGCAAACACTATGCGACTGGCCTTGCGACTTGTTATTGCGAACGCAGGGCGAACTGGAAATTGCAATCGTTTGAAGTCAAACGGAAGACCATTCGGAATCATTGGTATGTCATAAAATCGCCAGCAATTTTTGATTGAATGGTGAAATTCAGTGCGTGTACATCATTATTCTTTGCGGCAAGAATTGCTCGTTGACTTAACCAAGCATAATTCTGATAATTCTCACTAATGTCATTACTCGAATTTTGAATTACGGTGCGTGAAGTTCCAGCAGCTTGCATTAAGGTACGATGCCATGCACAACTAATTTTCTTAGCTATAAACCTTGCGGAGCTCGAGACCTTTCCAACGAATGCAAAATTGTCGAAATCGGTTCGTGCGTTTTGGAGTTATTTTGTCAGGAAGGAAAACCCGACTTATTTTTATATATATAGAAGATAACTAAATGAATAAGTTTCAAAATTAATTTTAGATGAATCAGTACACTAAGGGTGTAATTTATACTTCATTGATGTGATATTTAGAATATAATAATACGCCTTCAGTTGTTCGATTTGACTTGATTATATTTTCGAGCGTGTGTACGTTCGGTGTAAGTTCGGTCGGTGCCTTCTGTATCAACGCGAATCCTAAATATTAATCAAGTTCCTCAGTAGACTACTAATTAGGAGTTTTGAATAATAGGGTAATTTATTTTTGTGGGAGTCGCAGTAGAAGAGATGAACGTAGCCGCGTAGCCCGTCCCGCGCTCGCATCATGAGCGCTAAAGGAGCGCTAAACTATCTCGCTTCCGCGCGACTCTATCTCGCTTCCGCGCGTTTTCCGAGCGAGCGAACGACTCTCTTCGCGACGGCGAGGCCGGGGTGGCGAATCGGACGCTCACCATTTGTCGGATCGAATCGGTGGGCGTGTTCGTGCCGCCATCGCTGCTTATATCATCCCTGCGCTCGACAGTCGATAGATTCAGTGTGTCGTTGGACTCGGACGTGAGCGTGTTTACTGTTAACTGTTAAGAGTGTGACCTGCGAGTTAGTTGATTTCAAACAATTTTGTTCAGTGAGTTAAATACATATATATTATCGTGAGAAAGATGCAAGGATTCAGGAGTTACAATCCAGCGGATGATCGCGACGGTCTCGTTTTGGATCTGATCCAACAACAGCAACAATATGCAAGGGCAGCTGTAGCTGCAAACAGTTCACCACCGCCTTCACAGCAACCGGGGTCGCGGTGTAATAATAATATGCTCCAGCGCGCGCCCGCCTCGCCTGTCTTGAGTGTTTCTAACGGCGGCGAATGCTCATCGCCCACAGCCGATATGGGACAACATCAACAACAAATGACTTCTGCCCATCAGCAACAACAACAGCAGGCGCCTTTGGATCCGTCGGTCAGGAGATATCGCACTGCCTTCACAAGAGATCAACTTGCAAGACTTGAGAAAGAGTTTTATAAAGAAAATTATGTATCCAGACCGCGAAGATGCGAACTTGCGGCGCAGCTAAATTTACCGGAATCTACCGTTAAGGTTAGTTTCACCTTCATTTAGTAATAAAATTTTAAAATAAAACATCTATATATCAACACCTTTTGAAATTGGGTACTATGTTATTTTAATCAAGAAATTAAATATTTTATTTGAAAATAATTATTTTTGTTTTAAATTTCAAATATCCTTAAAAGTCAATTCTAGTTATTTTCGCGCTAACAGATGCCTGTTACGCAGTTTATTTCATTCAAATTAAGTTGTAGGTGAATAATAAAAACATAAAGAGAACCGCGTTTCGGGTGTTCACAAGGCATGCCGGTGCAATAAAATATATTAACACCGTATCCATTCTACAAACGGGGCGCAATGTGTTAATTATTATAATTATAAAAATGATTGCATTTGAAGAATCGTACTAATGCGCGAAAGAGAGACCTACCCGTCGCTTTTGAATTATCGTCTCCGTGCTAAGTGAGCGCATCTATAATTATCTTCGTGAGATTTAATATTATTGTTTTTTATTTGCAGGTATGGTTCCAGAATCGTCGTATGAAAGATAAACGACAACGTATAGCGGTAGCGTGGCCATACGCCGCGGTTTACTCGGATCCGGCGTTTGCCGCGAGTATTTTGCAAGCTGCCGCTTCTTCTGTTGCGATGCCATACGGTTATGCGGGACATCACGCGACGGGACTGCCGCCTTACATTCCACCGCCGGCTTGTTGCCGCACCATTTGCCGCCAGGATACGGTTACCGCTATCCCGTCTATCAGCAACGAACGGTGCCGACAGTTCCCGCCGTTCCTCAAGTAACGAGCACCCTACCGACGCGGTATACTACCGTCGGCAGCAATACGCCGCCAAGCCTGAGCCCGGGAAGCGACCTGTGTTGTCGCGAACCGCCAACCGCCGCACCCGCCAGCCCTGTACTAACCACCATTCCCGCCGCGACGACCACCACGGAACGACCGTCGCCGAAATTATTTAAGCCTTACAAATCAGAAGCGTAGTCTATAGATATATCCGAAATCCCCTTTGTAAATAGTCCATAAATATATCTAATTATAATATATGTATGTATAAGAGATTTAAGTTTTGTTAATATATTTATTGTTAGACGCTAGTTATGTATCATTGATGGATGAATTTGATAAAATATATTTACAGAAATCATAACGCTTGTTTCATTATTTTAATATTTTTATACATTTATATTCAATTATATGACCAAATCGTAAAAATGAACAATTGAACGATTTGGTATTGAATGATAATTCGCGTTTAGAAAATATTCAATAGACTAACGTGAATTAACTTAAATAAATCCTACTTTTAACAATATCCTACAATTTATGATGCATGTACAATTATATATGAAAATATTTCTAGAATTTTAGAATAATACATATTATGCAAATAATTAAATTTGATCACCTTTTCAATTTCATTTTAACTAATTAAAGTTTTTTTTTTTTGAAAAAATTATCAATATTATTTAAAGTAGTAGGGCGGGGCACATAGGTCCAATTTGAGTATGAATTTTATTTTGAAAACCAAATTAATTATATCAAAACATATAATACATATTAAACAAACAATCTGACTATATTCAGTAAAACTCCCAGCTAATTCACTATTGTAGAAATATGCTTCTTTCAAATATTGCTGTTTATCGATTTCCCGAATCAAGGTGATAGCTGATTATACATCTTTTCCCTCTACTTTCAAATATTGTTGTTAAAAAATTCTTAACTTTACTGGTTTTTGAGATATCGGTGCTATTTTATCCCCCGACCTTTGTGCCCCGCTCTATCCTATATTAGCATTTACAAAATATAATTCGAAGCAATTGTTTCACATTGTACTAAACCGTTTTTATTAACTTCCCGTAGGGTAAGTTATAGTAATCGCAAAAAATCGAAAATGAAAATTTTTATATATCTTTACGTTTCAGAGGTTTCTTAACATTTTGGCATACCTTAGAAAAAATAAATGTATGTGTGTGTGTGTGTGTGTGTGTATGTGTGTGTGTGTGTGTGTGTATGTATGTATGTATGTATGTGTGTGTATGTATGTGCGGATACAAATTTTCGTCGACGATTTCGGGAACACGGATCAACCGATTTTAATAATTCAAAAAACATTCGATTCGTATTGATAAGGAGACGTGCTGATTAGTTTTTGGCGAAGGCAGGTCCAGCCGTTCTAAAGATACGGGGCAAAAAGTGCCGAAAACGGTAACTCAGTTTTTAAGAGAACGGAGCGTCCGATTTTAATAATTCAAAAAACATTTGACTTGTATTGACAAGATGAAGAATTGATCAAATTTTCATAAAGGCAGGTCTAGCGGTTCGGAGATCTAACGAAAAAAGTAAAAAAAAATGCCATTTGGCGGTCAAAAATGATCATTAGACATATGCACATCAAATTATCAGATATTTTATAGAGATTTTAACAATAAGTATAAATTTTGTTTGCATTCCTATGGGTTCCGTACCAATATTTATTCGTTAGACGGCGACGCGGCGCTTACGCGCTTTGACATTTTGTCTTTATGCAGTTAAAGCAGTACGATTGCTTTGAAAAAAGATCTTCCAAAATATGCCAAAATAAAGAAAACATTATTTTTTTCAAAAAAAAAAATTAAAAAAAAAAAAAAAAAAATTAGATTTTTTTTTGAAAAAAATTTTTTTTCAAAAAAAAGTAATTTTTTGTTTAATTTATAGTTTCTCAAAAATCTTATTTTTTTGAAGTAAATTTGTTTTAAAAATGTCAATCGTTTTTAAAAAAATAATAATTTTTGGTACGGGAAGTTCCAGCAATTTGCCTTAAGGCACGATGCCTTAATTGCCTTAAGACAGAATTCCACTTACAGCTAGTTTAATACTTCTAATTTCATTTTGCTACCAACAAAGCGTTTAGTACATTTACACGAATATGCTATCTATAATGTAATTAACAGCATTTCATAACATACGTGTCTTTTAAGACCACCTAAAAAAATTTATTACACATGTCTAAGTTAATTGATATTCACTATGTTTTATTAGTCAAAAATCTTCATGCCACCGAATAAAAGCTGATGATATTTTATCACTGTTTTATCGCTGACATTATAAGTGTTGTTACTACCAGTGAATGTAACGAATGTTAATGAATTCACTCTTCCTCGTGTATGAAATTAATAAAAATATTAAGACGTCGGGAGAAAAGCACTTTGATACGAATATGACTCGAGATAACATTTATAAAAATATTTATTTCTAAACTATAATTTTATTTTTAGTAATTTGTTAATAGTTTCTAAATTTTGTTGCATCCTGAGTGGTCCTACACCCTTATCTCAAAAAGCAAGTAAAGTGTGGATTTTTTAAACGACACTATTTTAAAGTAGAGTAAAAATTATCTGTAATCAGTTATCGCCTTAAATCGGTGGCATCGCATTGACGAGATAAATAGTTGTCACATTGTCAAATTTTTAATAAGTTTTTTTTTTCGTTGTCTGTCTTTTTGTTTTTAAACACGGTTGTTTAGTTTATTATACCAGAATATAATTTTTAAGCATACATTATTTAATTATATCATGAAATGAATTGTTATTTTTAAGTTAGATTCAACAGTTTTATATAGCCTCTAAAATAGCTTACACAAAGGTGGGGCAAAAAGTACCAACTAAACCTTCTCACTGGCGAGATGTCAACAATAAGTAAATAGTAAAAAAAAAGTAAATAAGCTAAGAAGGCAATTTTACAACAGATTTAATTTAACGGTCTCCGATGATGAATTATTCTGACAAAGTTCCAAGCTTACATGAGGTTGGGGTAAAAAGGACCACCTAATCCTTTACACAGGCGAGGTGTAAACAATAAGAAAATAGAAAATAAAAATGTAAAACAAGTTAAAAAAGCAATTATGCAAAAGATAAATAAAATTAATAGTTATTCCAAATCTGTTGATACATTTTTCTAACAAAGTTCCATACGAAATTTGTATCCTTTGCGATCTTCATAAAAAATGTGCCCATAAAATATGTATTTAAGACAGAAGTAGTATTTATCTCTTTTGTAATTATTGTATATCAAAAAACAATGAGTCTTAAAAACAATAAATTAAACAGAAATAACTACCATAGCAAATTTTATGAAGTAATAAGAGTAGATAATTTTTTTTATTATGTTTAATATTATTGATTAGAAGTTGTATAGAAATAGAATTAAGTAGAATTTGAAAATAGTTAATTTGAATTTAAAACATAATTAGTATCGTAGAATGAAATTTGAATAAAATTAGAAATAGGAAGAAAACAAGAGAAGATTAGAATTGTTTTAATTCTGTTGTTCAATCTAATAATTAAACTGCACCATAATGATTGAATATTATATGTATAATTCCATAAAACCTTCTTAAAATTAAAAATTAAATTTTGGATTTTCTTGCCCCCCTGCTAGTCCTCGCATATAGGGTTAAAAGGACCAAGTGGCCAATTTTTGAAAAATAGCAAAAAAATATATATTTTTACAATGATGGGAGTACTACTGAATATAGTCAGATATTTGTTGTAATATCAAAGTCAAATTGGATCTTTGTGCCCCGCCCTACCCTATTTAGCGCTAGGGACTTTTAATCTGTATTCAGATAGATTTTTTTTATATTTTCAAATAAATTAATTAAATAAGTATATAACGAAAGTCTGACCCTAAGCTCTGGATTTTATATTTAGCTACGTTTCATATTCCCCGATCGTCTGGACTATAAATTCAAAAGTGCTGTATAATTGCGTTATAATACACGCTAATGAGGGCACGTTGAATATCTTCTCGGAAAATAAATTCCCTTAATTTTGCGTTTATAAATGAATTTTCACTCTCGCTCTCTTTGCTTCCCGCATACTAAACGCAGAAACAACATCGTGAGCAAATTTTCCTCAAACATAATAAGTGAATAAAATATTAAGTGTAAATATACATAAGGTGGAGCAGAGATTAAAGATCCGCGGGTAAAAAGGTCCACCGCCGATATCTCGAAAACCAGTAAAGTTGAGAATTATTTAACAACAATATTTGAAAGTAGAAGAAAAAAGATGTATGACCAGCCATCACGGAAGTTTTTTTTTGGTCAGTTTTTTGGTTGTGATCACTGTTGTTTAGTTTACCAGACCTTTATAATTTTTAAGTGTACGTTATTTAATTGTTTTATATATATTGTTAATTTTAAGTTAGATTCAATCATTTTTTTTAAATAATCTCTATAAGAGCTTACAGGTGACGTTAAAAAGACCAACTGAACCTTTACTCTGGCAAAGATGTAAAAAATAAAAAAATAGCAAATAAAATAGTAAATTAAGTTAATAAAGCAATTTTACAAGGGTTAAATTAAATTAAGAGTTATTCCAACTCTGCTGATGAATATTCCTGACAAAATACCAGATCAAGGTTATTTATATATTATCTCTGTAAAAATTGCATCCATAAAATTTATATTTTGCAATGCTTGAATAATGTAATTTATACTTTGTAAAAGCCATTTTAAATTAAAATAAGACATTGGATCCGTTTACCCCCTGACCCCATTTACATGGGGTGAAAAAAATCAGGTTATAATTTTTGAAAAAACGGCAAAAAATATATTTCTACAACGATGAAGTAGCTGAAAGTTTTACTGAACATTGTCAGATAATTTTTCATTTGATATGTTTAGTTTTCACAATATAATTGCCCAAAGTCAAATTGAACCTCTGTGCCCCGTCCTATCCTATATATATTAATTTGTTTATTCTGTTAACAATGATCAAATTATTACATGTGAAATCACAT